CATAATAATTCTTATTAATGAATATAATCCTGTTTTTAATCCTAGGAACATTGCGCCATGGATCATCACCTGCCACCCATGTATACATAAATCCAGAAATACCAGAAACAGCAGCACTTCTTGATATGTATGACATATTTCTCATCTATAACCATCAGATTTCTTGAATAAAACTATTGTTAACCAAATGACTATCTGATTTCAGTTTCCGTGGACCACAAAGACCAATTTCTATTCCATCTAGAATACCAATTACATTGCAGGATATCAAAACAAGAAAACGATCGGACTTACTGGTTATGTTACATGACATCTTCCTATCTAATTTCATTGAATAATATTGACAAAAAAATTTCACTAACAGCACAACCATCTGGTTGCAGGATAAAACCTTTTTGATCAAAGCATCAATCATGGATATTCAGTTTCAAGACAATTGGTATCAGGTTCTATGTCCAACTTGTAGAGATCCCATTCACAAACGGGGCCCACAATGGTACTGCAGTGCACACTCTGTCATTGAAAACCCAATATTTTCGTAAGTACACTTCAATCTACATTAAAACCGTTTATGCTGTATACTATGAGGTAACAAACTTATTTTAAAAACAAACACAGATTCAACCTAACACTAAGTGACACAACGGACACAATATCAGCAATCATATCCGACACCTCATGTCAGAAACTACTCAACTCTACCCTTCAAAATCTTATAGCAAACAACACCATCGACAAGAAAACACTTCCACCCTTTATTACTCAGCAGAAAGGGCAAACAAAGAACATGTCAGTTCAAATCCTAAAGGCATCCGCTCGGGACAATTTACGTTTCATAATTGTGGACATTGAAAGCTTGAATTCTATATCACAAACAAATGTTCCAACAACTCCAGCACAGGTCCCCACAACAAGGCCAACAATGCAACAAAACACACCTGAATCTACAATGTCTGTCACCCGCAGCACACGTGCTCTGTTATACAGCACCACTGGTATACACATAAACCAAATTATTACCTATTATACCTTTATGTTTTCTAACACATCCTCTCTGTTGGATACAGATGAGCCAACACCATCAACGGACACAAAGCGAAGCCGCAAAAAATAGATGGAATCATCCCTTATTTTGTTTGTCATCAATGTGTCCCGTCTGTTTGTAGTTAGTATCAGATGTTCCATAAACACTTTCACTGCTTTTGTATGTAAACAACATAACATTTTGTACCAAAATGTTAACTATGCAACTTTGGATGCTATAAGCTTTATGAAATGTACCACTTATGTATGCCTTGAATAGATAGAAATCAGTCTACTAGAACCATAATTGTGGACCCAGCTAAAATACCCATTACCTATAATGTATCGCCAATATGTATATAAATAATTTGGAATGCTATTTTACTAGAATACCACTTTTACTACTTTTGGTAGCTTTTTTTTGTTCTTTATATTCTTACCACACAACACATCCACACCCTCAGAAAGACAACACGTTTTTTTTTCTCGATTTCATTAAATTAGAATCAATCTTAGTTTGTTATAATTGACAACATATAAACCTGCAATACCCTAAAACCCAAAAACTACTTGAACTCATAACCAAAACATGCTACTATTGACAAAAAGTATATAATATTAATGATACATAGATGGGGACCCAACTTACACACTTACAGTTAGATGGTCTCAATGTTGGAAGCTAACAACACAATCCAAACTCCATTCAACCCATTTTCCAACATTACTCTAAACGAAACTACAACAATAAACGTACAATAGAATCAACATTATCCTTAAACGCCAAAACAAAACACATTTCACACAAATATCCTTAATCTACAAAGACTACATGTATTGGTAAACAAAACTACAACAATAAACGTACAACAGAATCAACATTATCCTTAAACACCAAAACAAAACACATTTCACACAAATATCCTTAATCTACAAAGACTACATGTAAACTACTAATTATCACTTCCATTCCTTAAAACATAAAAGCATTACATTACATATGACCATGACAAATACGGTTCCCAACCCATTACCAATACACAAGAAACCAAAAACCAAAGAAACACCATTTCCAAAACAGACAACATACGACCATACCCATTTACAACCCCAAAAGACCATTCACATCCTAAAACAAAACACCATAACAACTACCTCCATAAAACTATTACCTTAATCCACATAAGTTCCATCATCCTCTGGTAGTTTCTTCAGCTCCTTCCTCAGTTCCTCCATTCTCATCTCTGCTTCCCTCTTCAGTTTATAGATGGTTTGGATAGCTTTCGATGCTTCATATGTGCTATCAATGAGTAGCTTCTCCATCCGCAGATAGTTAAGATACCTAGGTCCCCGGTTCATATCCGCCTGTATTTCAGCTTTTGTTTGTTGGTTCAGAAAGAAATCGTTTTCAACATTTGCCAATGCAGTTACCTCCTCTTCCGCTTGCTTGATTAGAACCTTGATGATCTTTTCCATTTCCTGCGGCTTCATGTTTCTTCCTGCTCGATTTGTAGCACTGACGTTCGAAAGCAATGTGTACAAAAAAGGAGATATCTGGAATAAAGGGTAATCCCTTTACGGATCTTATAGAAGCCAGATTGCCCTCCATGACGATTACCTTCCTGCACTTAATGCTACCGCTGACGTAGATGACGTTTCACTTGCCACCTTCAACATGCTTACCTACCCAAATCGGCTGCAATTACCGCACCCTAATCATTCCACTTGACCTCATTATTTTTTACGTTGCAAAAATAAAATATCCATTAAAACATATACCAAAAAATACATAAATAAAACTACGATCAAAACTGAACCCCGCAGAGCGGGGTACCACAGCTAGTTAATATTAATACATTCGAGAAGACAAAAACAAATCCAGAAATATCTTGTACAACATAATTTATTAGATATAGCTAATCATTTTCAGCATACATATTAAACACTTCCTAAATCTCCAATAAAAATAAATATATATTTCTAATATTTTCTTATTCATAATTTAGATGGTAGAAAAATACTGTTATTGTTGTTATTAATTAATAAAATGGATTGTAAGTAGCATGGGGCGCGAAGTGAGGGACAAAGTGGGCAGCTGCACAAGGCTTAATTTTTTTTTTGGTCCATTTTTTTTATTATGTTATATATGTATTTATATATTTATTTAAAAATAAAAAATTGATAATAACGATAAGAACCATTATTTCCTGACTCGTCAAGAGCATTTGAGAATATTTAAACCATCAAGACTAGTCCTGGTAAGTAGTTCACAATTTATTAATTATTTTCGATATATTATAATTTGTTAAACGTAATTATTGATTTAATTGCTAGGGTCAAACACCATATTATTTTAATAGAAATTTGACAAAAGTTATTTGGCATTTAATACTTTTTAAATTTTGCTTAACTATTAAGCGAAACAAATATATGAGACTCATGTACCCAAAATCTTTTTGGAAAGAATTATAGACAAGGAACGTCCAATTTAGTCTAGTCAAAATAATTAAGGTGTGAAGTTAGTTTATTACTGGGAAAAAAGAATCTTAGGTTTATTTTTTTCAAAATCTTCAAATCGGTACATTAGTGCACATTTGATGGTGTTTTGATTGAAAAATATTACTGAGAAAAAAGAATCTTAGGTTTTTTAGAAATTTGAGTTCTTATTTGATCTTAATCATTTGAAATAATTATATACAAAGTTAAGATGTTTTTTTTCACAAGTTTTCCAAATACATTTATATGTTATTATACTGATACTTTATCAACATGAAACATCATAAGTCTATTTTGGCCATGTAGTTAAGTCGTGTGCTTGCTAAATTCGTTGTGATTTAAAACGAGCGTTCAAATCTCATAAGTTATGATTGATTTGATTGAAAATAATAAGTTAAGGGTGACTTATTTAAGAAGAAAAAGCTAATTACAATGACTTTTTTATATCGTTTGCCCACCTAAACTCTTCTTGAACCTTCTTTAAGTTGAAGTGAACTACAAAACTCATCTATTCATCCATTTACTTATATGTGTTGATGTTATTTGTCTAATTTTTGAATTTGCTTATATCGAGCAATATATACCATGTTAAGAGGGTTACAATATCTGTTTATAAATCAATTTTATCTAGTTTATGTCATATATAATTAATTTCTAATATACATAAAAAAATAAAATCTAAAATCCACCAAATTTACGTGTTTTCACTGCAATTTACAATTTAATGATTTTGATGGTCGCAACTGCAGGTTCACTTGAGAACCGAACATCAAACGATGTTAGGGGTACAATTGTTACCCTGATAAAACATTATTGTTTTAATAGAGTCCCATTGAAGTGAACGAAGGAATTGTTTAAAGAAAAAAACAAAATTAGACTGAAAAAGTAATAAATAAAACTTCAAGACCAAAGTTGTACAATGATGAATAGTCAAGGACAACTTATGTAAATTAGTAAAAGAGTTCAGAGTTCAAAAGTTGATACAGTGGTTTTTATATATAAACCAGAGGCAGCTACACCATATTGTTTATTCTTATTTTCAAGTTGCCAGTTAAGCATAATAGAGAGGGTCTCTACATCAATATCACCAGCAAACCTTTGCTGTATCGTTTCTTCACAAGTCACAACGTGGGTAGGGTTCGTGAAGTTCATCACTGAAACTAATCACGGTTTGATTCTTTCACTTGAATGCTGAAAACGAAATTCTTAATTGATTAATTAATTGCTAATAAGTTTGATTTGCCAAATATATGCTTCTCAAATTGAAATTTGTTTTCTACCGCAAACAATTCCGCCTGTGGTTTTTCCTTTCCACATCGGAGAATCAAGGTTACGTCAACTTTAAGTTTTCCGTTGAAAATTTGACATTGATTTTTCAAAATATGTTATAATCGTCGATTGTGTTTTGTTTGGAGGATTTTTTTCAACTAAATTTTGTTTTATTACTTACAGTTCGTTGTATTTGAATCTTCGTACTGGTTATGGCAATAAACACTCGTATCAGAGCATTCAGCACTACTGCTGAGTTTGTGGAAATTCCGAAATTGTAGTTAAGCTTCTTACCTGTGTTTTTTTTTTTTCTTTCAGGGAAATGACAGCAAATAAATATGATGCTGATAGAGAAGATTCTAATTCGAATGATATCAAGGTACACGGATAATAATGCTTCTATTCTGTTATTCTTTTCATTTGTCTGTAAATCATTGTCCTGCATTACATTTGTAAATTGTGTTTCAAGTAAATTTTACTTCTGGAAAACACTAGAAATTAACCATGATTAGATTCCTCAGAAGTTAAATTGAAGTTTTTACTGAATTTGACTAGATCTGTCCTGGTATCTCTCTCTTTCTCTAGGGTAAGGTTGATCCAGCAAAACCAGCATCTCTTACATGGAATAGGAAACTCAACACCGAGGCAATTCCCCTTTCACAGTTTGGCATAAAGATCTCAGAAGTAATTCGTCTGGTATGTATGCTTTACCAATCATAAAATTAAAGTGAAAGAGTCTTTATCGAAATCAATACTCTTCACTTTATCAGTATTTTGTCTGTAGCAACAAACTCAGGTCATTTATTGGATTTTTGAAGTTGTTTTTTTTATTTGCATAGGCTCCATTAATATATCGCTTATGGCTTTGGTTACGAGAAGATGCTTCAAAGGGAAACGGAAATGTATTTTTCTAACTCGTTAATATAATTATTTCTCTCACTAGTATTATAATAATAATCAAATGCACTAATTCAGTGACTTATTTATATATTGTATTGGTTTCAGGGAACTTTTGTGGACCCTTTCAAGAAACACTACTTTTCTTCTTGTTATGGTGTTCCTTTAGGTGGTATTGGGTAAGCTCATTAAACTTTTGTATGATAAATTGATAATCACAACTTTTTCTTTTGGTCATTTTATTTGAAAAAACACATCTGGCAGTGCAGGTAGCATTGGAAGGACATATAAAGGCGAGTTTTTGCGTTGGCAACTCTTTCCTAAAACATGTGAAGATAAACCAGTTTTAGCAAATCAATTTTCTGTAAGTTTTTTCTTCTTTTGAACAGATATTCATCACTTTAATATTCGTAAATGATATCTTATTTACTTTATGACATTGTGCAGATATTTGTCTCAAGACCAAACGGAAACAAGACCTCCACTGTCCTCTGCCCACCAAATCCAAAACTGCTAAAGTAAGCAATTTTTTTCGTGTCCCAAAATAATTATAAATTATGTGGAAGTTAAGAAAATATAGTATTATGTAGAAACACTAATTTAGATTTTAGACTACTAAATCTTTTACTTACACTCCAACTAGCAAAATCACTATTTTATCTTGGATAAATTTTATTTTATAGATTTTGAATACCCAAAGTTTGACTCTAAGATTGATAAGAATACATTTGTTTTTGTTTTCTCATTATGAGAATCTTGTTCTATATGTAAGAATGAATGAAAGTGAAACCGAAGATAATGTGAAATTAACAGAGAGAGTTCGGTCGATGGGATTGGATCTTGGGACTGGAATTTTAGTGGAGAGAAATCAACATACCATGCATTATACCCAAGGGCTTGGACAGTTTATGATGGTAATTCTCATCTTCTTCATTCCCAAAGTTGACCATTGGTCTAAGTTTGACTTTCATCATTGACCAACCCTTTTTCTGTTATGTAGGTGAACCTGATCCGGACCTCAAAATAGTTTGTCGTCAGATTTCCCCAATTATCCCTCATAATTATAAAGAAAGCAGCCTTCCTGTAGCAGTATTTACTTACACAGTATGTCTTTTCTCTTAAAGTCTGACATGACAAGACCCTGAACTAGAACACAACATAACATTACAAAAACTACAATTTTTGTCCCATTCAAAAAGGTGGGAGAGAGACTCGCTCTCAATCTTTCTTTTGTGCAAAAGACGTGAATACCCTCCTGTCCTTATTTACAGATTTTTGTTATGTGGTCTATTAAGATGACATTGATCTTTATCATTGGCTTTAATCTTGCTTAGCTGTCAAACACCGGAAACACAGATGCAGATGTCACTTTGCTATTTACATGGGAGGTAAGTTTTCATCATTTAGGGTTTTTCAGAAAAACAAAATAAGTAAAAGTTGATATTCTCGCTTATTTCAGAATTCTGTTGGTGGATCCTCTGGATTATCCGGTCATCATTCCAATTCAAAAATGGCGTAAGGATGTTTACATGTTAACCTCAGATTGTACATCCATATTGGGTTTCAGGATTATTAATTATATACTTTGTAATAAATGTTAAAAATATTGTTATCAGGGTGAAAGATGGCGTTCATGGTGTACTCCTACATCATGCGTAAACTACTCTCTCCTTGATTTATTAATTCATTCATAAAGTTCGATGTTACATTTGTACCATATGCAAGAAATAGCAACGTACTTTCATTTATTTCAATTACAGGAGTGCAGATGGGCAAGCCCCGTTAACCTTTGCTATTGCAGCACAAGAAACAAACCATGTTCGCGTTTCAGAGTGCCCATCCTTCATAACATCTGGACAGTCCAAGGGTTTCACAGCAAAAGACATGTGGAATGAAATTAAAAAGGTTAGCATGTGAATTTCATTTATGGCTATTACAACACTGTACTTTCAATTTTCTTTTTCTTGTAAAGACAAATTTTACCCAATTATAGCAATGACATTACTATAATGGGATAGATTTTTCAAAGTGCAATGTTGTAAATTTGTAATAGGTAGAAATGAAAGCAAGATGTTATAATAAACAAATAAATGGAAGTAGATTGCCATTTCTTACATTTAGCCTTAATTTTTATGATTCAGAATGGTTCTTTTGATCACCTTCATTCTTCTCAACTACCAATGATCTCAGAAGCAAAGTCGTGTATAGGTGCGGCTATTGCAGCTTCTGTGACCATACCATCTCAGGCTGTGCGTACTGTCACCTTCTCATTGGCATGGGACTGTCCGGAACTTGTCTTTCCAGCCAGGACGTACCATAGGTGGGTCACCAAACATTTTCTACAACTTTATAATATATGAAAAGAGTAAATGCAAGAAATAACAATGTACTTTAATTCATATGTTTATTATAGCATTTTACTTTCATTTCGTCCTATTACATGATCCTACTTTGAAAATCAACCAAATTATCATAATGTCATCCAAATACAAAGCAATTTTCATAGCTATAATATGGTAGTTTTTTTAAAGTACAACGTCCTAATAAGAAGAAAAAAAAAAAAAAAAAAAAAAACTTAAAGTAGAATGCTATGATTAGGTAGAGTTTCAAAGTACAATGCGTTAATAAGAAAAAAAAATACGGTGTTCTAATAGAAAAAGGGGTAGGATGCTAATGCTTTGATAAACAAATAGATGAAAGTACATTGGTATTTCTTGCATTTAGTGTTGTGTGAAAACTAGCATGATTCTTAGGAGGGATGTTTTGTGACAGGCGTTACACCAAATTTTATGGTACTCATGGGGATGCTGCTGAAAAAATTGCACATGATGCTATTCTCGGTGATGCATTCTTATCTATTTTAGAATTTTAAAGTACATTGCTATTTCAAGAAACTTGTTTTTATATATTATTAACAATTCCAATTATTCATTTTGTATGAAATTTAGAACATGGTAATTGGGAGGCCCAGATAGAAGCATGGCAACAGCCTATCCTTGAAGACAAGAGGCTTCCTGAATGGTACCCAATCACTCTTTTCAATGAATTATATTATCTCAACTCAGGGGGAGCAATCTGGACAGGTAACCCCAATCTTTTTATTTTTTTAAATCATCATCTTTGCATAAAATGAAAGCAGCTCACGTTCATGTTCATAATCCATGTTTCCAGATGGACTAGGTCCAGTACAGAATCCCCAGAGTATTAATAATGGTAATATAACTCATGAATCCGACAATGATGATAATGTTCTTGAAAAAATCACTTCAGTCCTTGATGAAATCCATATACCAACATCAAAAAACTCAGCATTCGGTACAAATCTTCTACAAGAAGGAGAAGAAAACATCGGGCAATTTCTGTATTACGAAGGAATAGAATACCACATGTGTAACACATACGACGTCCATTTCTACGCATCATTCGCCCTAATCATGCTTTTCCCCAAACTCGAACTCAGCCTCCAACGCGACTTCGCAGCTTCTGTCCTGATGCACGATCCTCGTAAAATGAATCTTTTATCCGATGGGACATGGGTCCCACGAAAAGCCCTAGGTGCTGTCCCACATGATATCGGAATGATCGATCCTTGGTTTGAAGTTAACTTCTATAACGTCTTCAATACGGATCAATGGAAAGATCTAAACCCTAAATTTGTCCTCCAAGCTTACAGAAACGTGGTGGCTACCGGAGATAAGACTTTTGCGAAAGCTGTTTGGCCTTCGGTTTATATTGCAATGGCGTACATGGAGCAGTTTGATAAGGATGAAGATGGGATGATTGAAAATGAAGGGTTCCCTGATCAGACGTTTGATACGTGGTCGGTTTCGGGTGTTAGTGCGTATTCCGGTGGGCTGTGGGTGGCGGCTTTGCAGGCGGCGTCTGCTATGGCTGGTGTAGTTGGTGATAAGGGTTGCGAGGAGTATTTTTGGGCCAAGTTTTTGAAAGCGAGGAGTGTGTATGACAAGCTGTGGAATGGTTCTTACTTTAACTATGATGATAGTAATGGGAGGGCAAGTTCGTCAATTCAAGCTATCCAATTGGCTGGACAGTGGTATGTTTTCATGAATTTAATTTATAAGTTTTTATTGTGTTTAACTTTTAGTTCTGTAAATAGTAAATTATATGATTAGAATTAAATAAATATCTAAAACAAATGGGTTTCTTCCATTCCATTTAATTATGAAGGAACAGACGAGATATTACAAAATGGCATTTAAGACATTTAACATTGGTTGTGAATTGTGGTAGGTATGCTCGAGCATGTGGGCTTTCTCCGATTGTTGATGAAGAAAAGGCGAAAAGTGCGTTGGAGAAGATTTACAACTTCAATGTTTTAAAAGTGAACAATGGGAAGCGTGGAGCTATTAATGGGATGCTACCCACTGGAGAACCCGATACCTCATGTATGCAATCAAGAGAAATTTGGACCGGAGTCACTTATGCAGTTGCTGCTGGTATGCTTCATGAAGACATGATCAACACCGCTTTCCACACTGCAAGTGGTGTGTATGAAACCGCTTGGTCTGAAGAGGGATCTAGGTAAGTCTACTTAGTAGCAACCTACTTTCATTCATTTAAGTTTTCAAAATATATCCAGAGTCTCTTTCTTACAAATTATAATATTCTTTTTTCTACTTTTTGCAAAAATGGTGGTCTATTTGCAATAAAAATCCAAATATGACAGGTTGGACAAGTTACACCTTTTCCACCAAGTTTCATTATCTCACATCCTATGAAAATTTCAACAATTAACCATCTATATGTTTAAAAGATAAAAGAGGGAACTTTTGTAAAACGTTAGTCCTGACTTTCTCTATTAAGTTATTTTAATTAATAAGTCTGTTTTTTTGGTACTTGCAGTTATTCTTTCCAAACCCCAGAAGCTTGGAACAGTAATGGGAAATACAGATCTCTGACTTACATGCGGCCTTTGGCGATTTGGGCTATGCAATGGGCCTTAACACAACCCAAAGGGCCTGATCACGAAATGAAGCCTGATGTAAAGCCTGAATCTCTCCTCAGGCAACATGCCAGATATACAGAAGTGGCTCGTCTACTAAAGCTGCCAAAGGAGCAAGACACAAGAAGCATCTTGCAGAAAATGTTCGACTACGCTTGTAAAAGATGATGTGACGTTTTTAGTTCTTTTTTACTTACATTAAGTTATTAATATTCATGATTGTCTTCACAAAAAACAAAACCCAACATTCAGTATGTACATACATACACCGTAGCATTCTCATTTCTCTCACGTCCCTTCTTTCTCTCATGCCCCTTCTTTAACAGATCTTATTGTCATACAATACTCATGTACTTGAAACCTTCCTTTGGGTGTAGAAGTTGCAACCCAAGTTATACTTTTATACTCTCAACATTATGTTCTTTGCTAAAATTGCATCAAAGAATTTTGTCTTAATTGTGTTAAGTAAGTTTGTCAAGGTCCTGATCCTAGGATCTTAAGATCCTACCTATGAAAATCATGTTAGATCGTAATACGATCGTTTTATTTGTAAGATCACAAAAGTTATAAAAATCAATGAAAAACATTCTTTGGAAATACTTTTTAATGAGACAAATTTCGCATTTATAAATAAACTTTGTTTAAAATATGCATAAATAAAACGATCTTTTCTGGCCGAAAAAATTTGTGGATGTCACAACACACACCCTTAATATGCTGTTACCCAATATTCAAACTTAATTGAACTAAGCATCCTCTTCAGGTCTTAGTTTATAACTAGACAATGCTACAACAACCACAAGCAACTTCAAACATAAATTTCATGTTTATGTAATATCTTTAGATTATAGGATATAGCTAAACACTCTTTCAACTTAACTCGAACTAAGCATCATTTATAAGTCTTATTTCATTATTGGGCAAGACTATAATGCTTTAGTCAACTTACAAAACCATTTTCCTGTTTATACCATATTATCGCAATATAGTATATGACTACACATTTCTTCAACTTAACTGGAACTGATTATCCTTTATACGTCATAGTTTAAAAATTAGACAAGACTATAATCCCTGTAATCTAATTTCAATACCAACCTTGTTGATGCAACACTATCTTAATTCAGTGTACATATATTTAACACATAGTACAAGGTATTTAATATACATTAATCTTTTAAGTAATAACACTTATATTAAGTGTCACACCCCCAAACCGAGACGGCAGAAACATTCGGGGGTGGAGGACGTCATGTATAGTATCACAAAAATTGCATCATAGTAATCAAAGTAAACACAACCATTACATTAAATAAATAAGGTATTTACATCTGTTTGATACATAGTTTGTATACAGCAAAAGTATAACAAAAGTGTAAAAGACGCGACTCTAAAAGCTCCGTCTTCTCAAAACCCTGCGAGTGTACCTGTCTTCTGGTTCCGTGAGAATACAAGTGATTTTGAAAGTGTATCAACATTTAGTTGGTGAGTTCATAAGTATGTTTTAGTGCTGGAAAACTTGTCTTTGTACTTTGAAAATACCTAGTGTGTTTCTCAAGAAAATCCAATATTTTCTATAGTGATAGCAGTGTAGTCATGTATGTTTCTTGTATTTGTATATTATATTAGTGTACTTTGTGTTAGAAAAACGGTGTATTGTATTTGTATTTGTATGAAAAACTCTTGTATGTATTCCTGGATACCACCAGTTGTAGTGAAAGTAGTGGACTGTAATAGTGTTTGTATAAAACCTTAGTATGAAAACCTGGTATTTACAAATTGTAGAGTAAAGTAATGAACCACAGTGATGTTTGTATGAAAACCTTATATAAATGCCTGGTTACTACCAGCTGTAGAGTAAATAGTGTATGGTAGTCTTATTAATTAAAATAAAACCATTGAAGTAGAGTTAATCCCGTAAACATACTTGTTAGTTATACTGTTGTGAGTTTCATATAACCATGCTAATATGACCTAGTGGCCTCTACGAAATTCTTCAGGCGTCGGTATTATGACATGTGTCACCCCCAGGCATGCCTGCCTAATTGTAGCTAGCAGTTTGGGTGTGAGATTGTCAGTCCCGTATAGATCTATACACAAACCTCACGCTCTCCATCCGGGAGACTCTGGTTATAATTTATAGGACTTGAACCTGTACCCTGGTGGGTACCCGAAGTAGTGCCTCACAACCCTGTATCAACTAGTTTACGTGTAATGTAGTAGTGTTCTCTTGTACATGAAAATGTATGTATGCTTGTAGAGTAAAAATAATTATACGTAAATAATTATTTAGTATTGTACTCTTGTGTTCAGGAAATAGTATTGTATGCCATAAACTATATCTATCATAGTTTATATGTTTGTTAATGTATAAGCTCTGGAATTGATAAAACCGTGTGTTGAATCTCAAACTATACCTATTATAGCTTGCATGTATGTTATGTATTTGATTCACGTATTGTACCGAAAACTTTGCAATTTTGGTTGTATGTAGAAAACTTCCCTTATGCTCAGCATGTTTCAAAAATGGATAAAATATCTAAATATTTTATAAAATGTAGTGATCTCTTGATTGTATCAATTGCATAAGATTTAATTCTATTGAAATCCTTTATATAAGAACACAAAATTTCTTTGTATTTTGCTTTTATTCCCCCCTGAAAACTAGGGATGAGCATAACCGGGTACCCGCCTATTTTAACTGGAACCGGAACCGCTCCCGGAACTGGCGGTTCTTAAGTTTTTGGTATTGGAACCGGAACCGCCTACACCGGTTCCTAGAAAACTAGAACCGCTCCCGGAACCGGTTCCTGTTCCGGGTACCCGGCTTTTGAGTATTAAAACTTGTTATTTTATACATGTCATGTCAATTATGTAAATTAACCAATACAAACAATATAAGTAGAAGATATAAATCCAAAACATTTACAAAAAATTGATCTTTTGAATAACACGCTATTAAAAACATGCCAACATAGCAAACTACAAGCTATAGACAACAATAATAAAAAACTATAAAATAGCAACAGGAGACTGAAATTATAATTCATAAAAGAAAAAACAACAACAATAAAAACAACAATGGTAACAGCGAAAAACAGCAATAGTGACAACAACAATAGCAACAACAAAACAGCAACAACACAACTCAGCAACAACACATAACAGCAAGAACAGCAACATCGGATAACAGCTACAACAACAATCAGCAGCAGCAAAAACAGCAACAACAACAACAATTACTTATTCCCTCTTAAGAGATCTTCCATATTGCGACTGATTTCTGAAATGAAATTAAGCAAAAAAAAAATTATAATAAGCATTATACAAGAAACATAAATTAAGCATAAAAACTAACATTTTATTAAATAAAAAAGTTACATTTATAACACATTGGAGTAACATTCAAACTTATAAAAGGACCAAATCTATAAAATAATAATAATAATAATAATAATAATAATAATAATAATAATAAAAGTCAATACCAAATATGGTGCACATGAATAGTGGGTACCTTCTTTAGCTTGAAGAATATAAATTTGGATCAAATAATTAAAATGGAGTTGCTTTTTAAACCTTCTTAGAGTTCGTATAGGATTTCCAGTGAGTACAAGGCTCCTCAAAGTTGTCATCAAGCCTAAAAGATATTAGAGAATAATATTATTAATTCATAAAAGTACCTTTTCCAATAAAAATAAAAATAAAAATCATAAAAGTATTGTTTTCATGTAGTACTGAATTCTACATGTACAATAAAATGCTAACCTTACCAATCTCAGGGGGAGGCTAGATAGTGAATTATTAGACAAATCCAATACTGAAATCTTCAATTTGCATGCCTCAACTAGATATTCCTTTAACTATATAAATAATAAAACAGAGGCACAAAAACATAATGTGAATCCAAAGTATGAGCTTTAGTAAATCCAAAGAATTAACATTAGTAGATTACAAATGATATTAATTAAATGAAAGTAAAATGAACTTGAAGTTGTTTGGAAGAAGATGACATGCCTGCATTAAGTTCAGTGAGTAAAGTCCATGATCCAACTAGCTTCTCAGATAAAATTATGAGCTTGTTACCCTAATGCAATTCAATGTGATTATGAGCTAATATCAGCTTCTGTAACTCAACATTCAATCCTACTCCTGCAACTAGAAAATTTAAAGCTTCTTGCACTTACAGTGACTGTCTGAACTAGAATACAAATGATATGAATTTCTAAAGCTTCTTGCACTTACAGGCTGACAATGTCTTCAGTAGAAGGTAATCGTGGAGACCAAAGAACAAATCTTCTGATGTAGCTTAAACTTCATATAGATGTTAACAGAACCTAAAGAATCGACAAATTAACAAAAAAAATCAAAATTAATAGTCTAATAAACGAATTCACATATGGAGGTTGAACAACCTAAGAACTCAATAATCGAGATATCCAATTCCACAATCAACGGATACAATCATATTTGAGAGTTACGATTAAGAATCTAACCTTGAGGATGAGAGAGGACTGATAATCAAGCGACGAGAGAGACGATGGAGAACCTAATTAGGGACGATCGGAGCGACATGGTACTGAGAAGAAGCGACATGGTCCACCTATTTGGGGCAAACTGGTAATGTGAGAGACAAAGACGAGGGAGACGAGGGAGACGAAGGAACAGTTCAGGTCTAAGACTGGAGAGAACTCAGAGAAGAAGCGTGTGTCGGCGTATTTTTAAGAATGAGTCGATATAGTCATATAACCCTAGATGAGATATAACCCTAGACAAAATTAACAATATATAAATAATTAAATATTTTTTTAGAAAAAGGCGGGTACCTGTCGGTACCGGTTCCGGGAACCCGGTATTGGAACCGGAACCGGCGGGTATCCAGCGGGTATCGGTTCGTAAAAATAAAAATAGAATTGGAACCGGAACCGCTTAAGGCGGTTCCGCGACTTTAGGAACCGGAACCGGAACCACCTAAGGCAGTTCCAGTTCCAGAACCGGCAGTTCCGAGGCGATTCCGGTTCCGAAAGCAGGTACCCGCTTCCGCTGCTTATCCCTACTGAAAACGTTAAAAACAGTAAAAGTGTAGGGGTATGAACTCACAGTTGATTATGTGCACGTGCTCGACAGCAAAACCGGAAAGATGACCCTCGAGTTGGAGTACGCTGAATTAACGGTATCCTAATGATAATTAAACACATAATTGTATTTAAATAGCGAAACCATTAATTAAAGTGTTAGAAAACACTTGCTTTTGTGTTAGGAATAGTACTTACCAAGAGTGTTGGAAATGAAGGGAGGGTTTTCGGTTCCAAGGGGTTTGCGGCCGAACACGGGTTTACGGCCGAACACAGGTTTACGGCCGAACACAGGTT